CTGGTTAGTTGATAAACCTCTAGACAGAAGATTAAGGTGAGAGGGTAAAGGGGGAGAAAGGCAGAAATTATCAATAATAGGAATGAAAGCAATACTATCACTAGGGATCCTATAGACATCAAAAGATAATAAGAGAACATGACGCATAACTTTTGCCAATGATTTGACAACTTGGATGAAAGGAAAAATTTCCTTTAAAGACACAAATTACCAAAGTTCACTCACAAAGTAATAGACAACTTGAATAACTCTGTATCCTTAATGAAATAGAAGCTGAGTTAAAAAACCTCATAAAGAAAATTTCAAGCCCAGATGTCTTTACTGGTGAGTCCTATCAAACATTTCAGGAAGAAGTAATATCAATTTATACGAACTTATTCAGAACACAGAAGAGGAGAGAAATATTTCCAAACTCACTTTGCAAGGCCAGCATTGCTTTGATACAAAACCACACAAAGATACTGAAAGAGAAGCTGTAGGCAAATACTCCTCATGATCTTAGAAAAATCTTAAGAAACTATAGTTACCTTGAATCAAGCAAAGTATAAAAAGGGTAACATACAAGGACCAAGAGAGTTTATCCAGGAATTCAAGGTGGGTTTAACATTCAAAAGTAAGCCAACATAACTCTCATTAACTGATTAAAAAAGAGAAATAGATAGATACAGAAAAAGTATGTAGAACACAGTATCCATGTACAATAATATTTCTACATACTGAAAAGTCTGAAATTGAATTAAAAACCCCATTTATAATTGCATCAAAAACAAGAAACACTCACAGATAACAAATTATGTACACAATTCCAGCAGGCTTTTTTGTAGAAACTGACAAGCTGATTTTAATATTTATAAAAATGCAAAGGATGAAGATTGGTCCTAACAACTTTTGGAGGACTTAGGGCTTACACACCTGACTTAATGTCTTCATAAAAAAATTCAAGATAATGTGGAATTAGTTTAAGGACATACATGTAAGTCAATAAAGCAGGACTATGCTCAGAAATAGACCAAAACATAAGTGGTCAATTCATTCACAGCAAAGGCACTAAAGTACTTCGAAGAGAAAAGAATAGTTTTTCAACAAATCGTCCTGGAATATTCTGACTTCCAATGAAAAGAAATGAAGCTTGACTCTTATCACACACCATGTAAAAAATTATTTTGAAATGGACTGTTTTGAGTTGAATTATGTTCCCCAGAAGATGTTACAGTCCTAGCCCCCATAACCTGTGAATGTGACCTTTGGAATAGGATCCTTTTAGACGACCAAGTTAGGATGAGGTCACTGAGGTGAGCCTTAACCCAATTATGACTATGTCCTTATAAAATGGGTAAATTTATACACAAGACAGGCAGTTAGGAAGGGAAGACAATGTGAACACAGAGGGAAAACACTATTTCCAAGCCAAGGAATGCTTGGGGCCACAAGAAGATGGGAGAGGTATAGAACAGATTCTTGCTCAACCCCTCAAAAGAAACCAACCCTACTAATACCTTGAACACAGATATCTAGCTTCAAGAACTGTCACAAAATAAATTTCTGTTGTTTAAGCCATGCAGTTGTAGTATGTTCATATGTCAGCCCCATAAAACTAATACATGGATTATACACTTAAAGGTAAGAGCTAAACTTATGAAACTTCCAGAAGAAAACAAGGACAAAATCTTTACCTTCATTTAGGTAAGTACTTTTCAGATATGAAACAAGCAAGGAACAAATTTACTGTACTTCATCAAAATCAGAAACTTTAGCTCACCAAATGACACTGCTAAGAGAATGAAAACAGCATGCAGTACATTAAGTATATAAGTTAACTTTTATCAGACAAGACACATGTTAAGCTAAAGGCTGTAGTAAGATACAAAGATCATTACATAATAATAAAGGGGAACAATGGGTCAATCCAACAAGAGGATGTAACATATATATTTATATAATTTGGAGCATATGATTTGTAAATATTTATGCAACCAACATGGGAGCACCTAAATATATAAAGCAAATATTAACAGACCTAAAGAGAGAAACAGACAGCAATACAATAATAATAGGGGACTTCAATACCCCACTTTCAACAACGGAGAGACAATCCAGACAGAAAATCAATAAGGAACAATGGATTTAAACTACACATTAGACCAGACACTTAATAGACATTTACAGAACATTCATTCTATACAAAAGCAGCAGAATACATATTCTTCTCAAGCACATGGAACATTTTCCAGCATAGGTCATATATTAGCAGGCCAGAAAAACAAGTCTTCATAAATTTAAGATTAAAATGATATCAAGCATATTTTCTGATACAATGATATGAAACTGGAAGCCAATTACAAGAAAAAAAACAAAATTCATAAGTACGTGGCAATTAAACAACTGAAAATTAATTTGTGAAAGTGAAATAAAAACAGAAAAAAAAATTGAGACAAATAACAATGAAAACATAATATACCAAAACTTATGGGAGGTAGCAAAAGAAGTTCTAAGGCAGGAAATTCATAGCAATAAACACCTACATTAAGAAAAATTCTCAAATAATTTAACCTATATCTCAAGGAACTAGAAAAAGAACAAAGCCAGCCAAAGATTAGTAGAAGGAAAGAAGAAAGATCACATGGAAAGAAATGAAATAGACACTAAAAAGACAATAGAAAACATCAATGAAACTAAGAGCTGGGTTTTTGAAAAAATAAACAAAATAGACAAACCTCTAGCTAGATTTACCAAGAAAAAGAGATGACTCGAGTAAATAAAATTACATATGAGAAAGGAGATATCACAACTGATACCACATAAATACACAGAATCATAAAAAACTACCACGGACAATTATATACCAGCAAATTGGACACAGGAAAAATGGATAAATTCCTAGAAGCATGAAACTTAACAAGCCTGAATCATGAATGAGTAGAAAATCTGGGGAAAAAAAACAAGTATTAGCAAGGAAATTGAATCAGTAATCAAAAACCTCCCAACAAACAAAGACTCAGGACCACATGGCTTCATGAGTAAATTCTACCAAACACTTAAAGAAGAATTAATATCAGTCCTTCTCAAACTCTTCCAAAATAATGGAAGAGTAACACTTCCAAATTCAGTTTATGAGGCCAGCAGTACCCTGATCCAAAGCCAGACAAGGACACTGTCAGAAAAGAAAATTTCAGCAAAATATCCCTGATGCAAATATCCTCAATAAAATATTAGCATACTGAATTTTTTACAACACATTAAAAGGATCATACAACACAATCAAACGTGACTTATTCCAAGGACGCAAGTATGATACATCTCCAAATCAGCCAATGTGTTCTATACAGAACTTAACCCAGTCACCCAGGCTGCCTTTCACCCTCTTCTATTCTCCTATCCTCAACAGGCTATCAAGTTTTACCAAATGCAGTAGTCTTCAAATATACCATTGCTTTCCAACTATCTCTGTTCAGTTCTTCATTACAATGGTCTCTTACCTGATCTCCCTATGTTCCCACCAACTCTCTCCAGACGTGACTGCTACATTCCCTCCACCACACGTCCCAGCTTGTAACTTAGAGAGCTGCCCATTTCAGAACTACGGAGACCAAGGCTCAGGCTGATCTCTCTCCCCTTTCTGTGCCCAGAGTAAGATTATTCATGTGGCTACCCCACAAGAATTTAACCCATCTGATCCACTTCTTGATCTATATAACAATGAAGTAACATTAATTCTAAAATAATCTTGTAGAAAATTAGTATGCCTGAAATTTTCAGAGATTGAAAACTGAGTAATACAGATTCTACCAAATCACTGGCTATGAATTTCTATGGGTTCAAATAAAAAGGAAATATGCAAGTTACAAATTATACTTAAATCAAAACCTCACCTTTAAATTAACCTAGTTATAAAAATATTTGTGAAAAGCCTCTACAACAATTAATGAAGTAGAAATCAAAAGAAAAGATACTTAGACATATAGATGGTCCTGAAGATCCACAAAAGGAAGACTAACTTTACTTTAGGCCATATTTAAACAGACAAGCCAGTGTTAACACATAGAGGGCATAGGACATTTTCACAAATCACATTATTTTTTGGACTGTTAATTACTTCTACATTAGAAAATAATGAGAAATCTTAAAAAAGCATAAGGAATTGGAACAAAAACAATAAGATGAGGAGCCTGAATCCAAAAATATTAATCTCACAAAGACTTTCAAAACACAGAGTATATTAATTTGTTTGAAACAAATGTGAAACATGCTTGGTCCATTAAAAATAAAATGTAACCAATTCACATTCCTTATGTATCCAGTTTTATGATAACATAGAGAAGATACCAGGTCATCCATCAAATCACGATTACTCAAGACATTTATCTAAGGTTCCTTAAAAAATGGCACAGTACAGGCTAGGGGATGGGTGGATGAGAAACAAAATAAAACCACTTTCAAATTTCAAATCTTTGTATGTTCTGTTATATCCTCAATCGTTTAAGTATTTTTTTATGAGACACAGAGAGTGCAGTCCTCTCATTAAATGGCCGTTTAGGTGAAATCAGAATCTAACGGGAAGGAAGAGGCTATAAAAATGGGGACAGAACATAGGGCACCTAGGAGGAACAAGGCATGGACCTGGGGCTCAGCCACTGCTATATCCTGTCCTTTTGGTAAGCCACCTTGATGCCTTGTGTCCTCTACCTCCCGACTGTTCTCTCTGGGGGAAAAAAATGAGATTTCTTCAGTCTTCTTGACTTTATACTGATTTTCCTGCTCAGGAAAAAGATAAATTGAGTAAGTAATAGGTTAAAGTTTGGATATAGGCTCCAGTTGTTAGACTGAAATTTCAGACCTTAGGCTTACAGTTTATTAGGATTCTTCCAAAAATGCTCAGAATTAGGATATAAACAACTGATCCATCCATATGTGTTAACTCATTGCTGCATGTGTAATTTATAGAAATAATTAGAAACACTATCAGTTAGGAAAACTATTGACATTAATAGCATGCACAGTACCTTTTGATAAACAATGGAGCACACAAGATCCTTGACAGCAGACAAAGATAGTTCCTGGGCTTCAATGGTAACATTCTCCCGTGTAAGGCCAATTTGCAGTAGAAATGAAATTGTATGCACTGAGCCTCTGGAGTTGGTGAGTGATGGTGCACTGAAGCTTCCATTAGAGAGTCGGGCAGAGAGTCCTGTCTTAGGACTTGAACACGGAGAAGGAGTTGGAAGCACAGTAGGAAGAGTGGCAGGTAATACAGACTTCTGGGATGATGGAGGGGAATTATTTGCAGACATCTGCCTTTCTTTAATCTTTTAAAATAGTTGTTAATTCTTTTTCAATGGTTATGAAGAGGCTTTCAAAATCACAGTGGTAAAAAAATGACTGTACTTTTGGATTTAGTTGGAAGTTTCTCTATTTCCTCTTTTAAGCCACTCATGCCAATGATGGCAAGCTCTACAACTGTGAGTTGAATACACAAAAGGTCCCACTTCCCTTAATATCAGTCCCATCAAAAAGGCGTTTTGTCTTCAGGACCACAACCAGGGATTTGGAAAGGATTAAAACATACTGAATTATTCTCAGCAAAAAGAGTTGACATTGCTTATTTACTAAACATCTTCATCTATTTTAAGTCTACTCCTGTCTCTCTCTTTTAATTTCAGAAAATACATATTGAATAAAAGTTGTTTTTCTGTCAAGATGAACTCCTCCTGGTTTAAAAAATAAGTGTTTAGGATTAATTTAATTCAGTACTTATCCTTCAGGTCACTAATTTGATGTGATACTTTCTTGAATGTCTACGCCTTAAATCACCTTCTCATATGTCCTCATTTTCATTTTGAGGGGGAATAAATCTTTCCATGATGAAGTACAAGGCTTTTTAAAATAGTACAGGCATATTTCATTTGATAAACGAGTCCACTGAGAAAAGTTGAAGTTTTCTGAAGTACAGTTGGCCTGGAAGGAATTAAAAAAAAAACTTTTAATGTATTATATTCACTTGACATTATTATTTTTTTTTTTTGAGAAAACAACCCAAAATTTTTAATGCAATAGATTCAAACACTTCAATAAAGAAACATGATGGCAAACAAGAATATGAGATGCTTACCACATTAGTCATAAAGGAAATGAAAATTTAAAACATTAAAAAAATTAATACTATATACCTATTAGAATTTTTTTTTTAATAAATTGACAATACCGAGGCTAGTAAAGATGAAGAACTGGAACTTTTCATACATTGTTGACAAGAATTCAAAATGATGCAACACACTGGAAAAACAGCTTGGCAGTTTCTTATAAACATATGCATACCACAATCCAGCAACTCTACTACTATATATTTACCCAGGACAAATGAAGTATGTTTACATAAGAACTGTGCACAAATATTTATAGAAGCTTTATAACTGTCAGAAATTAGAAAGAGTCCAAATATACATCACCATGGGAAAGTGTGCTGAAAACGTAACATACTTTGGCAAATTTAATGCAACATTAGTTGGGAAAAATAGGGAATGGACTACTGATACACAGAATCACAGATGAATCTCAGCACTGGTATGCCAAGTGAAGGAATCCACACACAATAGAGTACAAACTGTATGATTCCATTTCGGTAAAATGCAAACTAACATAGAGTGAAGAAAAGCCAGTCAGTGGTTGCCTGTGACCAGAAGTGGCGGGAAGAATGGACTGCAGAGAGTCTTTTGACAATAAGGAAA